AAATTTTTTACCTACTCGTTTAATTTGATCTGAAAGTCCTGGAATAAATGGAATGAAAAGGTTCGTAATAGGTTTATTTTGATTTTGTTTTGTTCTAACAAAAGAACAATCCACAAAAAAACGTAAAATTAAAGAAAGCGCCCTAATTTTACTAAATCAAAATAATTGTGTTGCTTCATGTTTTTTTCAGAAATTTTTGAGGCTAAATACCCAAAAAGAAGTTTGTAAAAAAATGAATCCGCCTCAACAATATAGAACTTATCAACAAAAAGTTGCAGAAAAAAGTATCAAAATCGAACGCAGCTCCCGCCTGGACATCGCGCATCTCTCTCGTTTCCGACATGCGCGACAGAGAGAACAGACGCGCGCTGCGCTCCAGAATGACAACCGCATTTTGCGAGTTTTCAGTAGTTGCCTTTACAAATCCCAGTCCCCGATATACCGAGCGTCCCAAGCACTTAACTGTAGAACTATAAGTGCTCCCTTTTCGAAAGTTGACTCGGTTTACCTGGTTGCCAAGTCGTCGAGCAATTCTGAGATGTTGCGTGTGACAGTCGACGGCACTGTCAAAGTCGCCCATCGCCATATAGACGGCGCCAACGTTGCCGATCTCGCGCGCCTCCTGCAGCCGATCGCCCATCTGTTTGACCAATTGGACGCACTGTTTGTGTGACGCCAGCGCATTCGGGTAGTCCCCGATCGCTGTGTAGACGTGGCCCAGCGACGTGAGCGCAGCTGCCGCTGCCTGCGTGTCCTGTTGATATGCGAGATTAATCAATCGAGCAGCCATGGAGAAGCGGGCCTACTTTGCACTTCATGGCCAGGACTAGTTGGTAGCGATGCGCGGTCAGCGCCTCCTTGTAGGAGCCCTTGCTGAAGTAGGCGGAGCCGAGGTTGCCATGTGCGCGACATTCGCCCGCAGTGTCGCCCAGGCTTTTGGCGATGGCCAGGTCCTGCTGCATGTACCTGAGATGGGGGTGATTTGATCGAGCAAAGTGGCAAAGTGAACTGACGCACCCTATAGCTTTGTCCAGCTGGTTCAAGGCCCAGTGCGCTGAGCTCAGCGCGCTGAACACCGAGCCGCGCAGCTTCAGCGAGCAGGAGCCGATGCGCAGAGCCGCCTCCAACACGGTGACTGCGGAGTGGTAGAGCCCCGCCCCTAGTAGCTCCTATTTCACAGAGACAGTGGGCTGAAGCTGGTGCGGTTTAGCAGCGACTCTGTAGGCTTACCTGGCCCACCACAGAGATCAAAACAAAAGGGCTCTGGTTCAGCTTCATGATTTCCAGCTGCTGAAACGTCGGCTCCAGGTTGTGCCTGAGTGGGGACTTGATGGAGGCCTCCACCAGGCCAGCCAGCAGCTGCTGGGAGGACGGATCCTGCGCCAGGCCTTGGCTGAAGGCCGCCAAGGCCTCCCCATACCGCCCCAGGCATTGCAACGCCACGCCTTGCCTATGGAACAAATGGGGTTTTCAACTTGCTAATGAGGTTGGAGGGGCTGCACCTGTAGTAGGCCTTGGGCCACGAAGGGCACAAGTCCCTGGCAGTGATCGCGTCCTGCAAAGCCTGCGCAAACAGTCCCTGCTTAAGGCGGGCGGCCGACCGATTCGAGTACAGGATGTGATTGGTCGGGTCTAGTTGCAGGGCGTCCGTGTAAAGGGCGACGGCCGTCGCAAAGTCCCCATTCTGGCAGGCGGCGTTCGACTGTCGGACCTTTTCCAGGAAGAGGGCCCGGCTAGCGGCCGGCAGCTCCGAAGTGCCCTCAGGTTCCACCTGGGAAAAGTGTTTGTTAGCGATAAAACGGGCGAGCTGGCATCGTCCTAGGAACGACCAATTACAGAGCGACAATATTAGAAGCGGCTAATTGTAGCCCCCTTGGAATACAACGTTGCCAGTGTCTATTGTTATGTCAGGTATCGAGCCAAGTGTCAAATCTTAAAAAGATGGGGTTAGAACTGTTAAAAGTTCTATTGATTATTGATGATTGCAAGTGACGTGCCAGGCCAACGACAGCAATTAATTC